TGACAATTACAGTGAGTATATTTGCATGTGTCTGTCATCTAGCATACACAGTACTAACACAAAAAAAAGCACAAGGAAAGCCTGCCTACTTGGTTGGCATGGCAAGTTAGAGAAATGCCTGCATGTATTCTATGACAGATCGAAGAAATTTGACAACTGGCCAAAAAAAGTACACAATAATTGCAACATCACTTGACATGCTGAATTTATTAATAACTTTTTACTCTAAAAAAATTTGATGATGATTGAACTTCATATTGAGAGGATTCACCGTAAGGAAAAACAGGTATTAAATCAATGGAGGTCGGTTAAAAATGTAAAAATCTGTATAAAATTACTGATAACGTCATCATCGAATGAATTGTAATTGATACTTTGAAACTTTAAGGAATATATTTGTTAAGTGTCAAATTAATCTGACTTGTAATTATGCCCAAAAGGTATTACACGAAGAAAGTATTAGGAAACATGAATATCAAAAAATCATAAAAAATCATGATGTTCCAATGTAGAAGACATATCTTTCCACCAAGTTTCAAGATGATTAGGTTTCTTGTATACGCAGAAACACAATTCGTTTATTTGATAATGTCAACATCATTTCACAAATTTTCTGAAAAGGGCGCACATCTGCTTTGCCTCACAAAGGTCTTACAAAGAGAATTTTAAGCATACCTTGTTTACAAAACAAACTAAATAAAACAATATTCATTAAAAACAAAGTGATGGCAACATCATCGCATCATCTCAATTTTCACCTACAACACGTCACACTTAACATACATACAAACTTTCAACTTAATCAGACAAGTACTTTCAGAGATGTTGGTCGTCAAGAAATCAGTGTTTAAAAACATTTAATTTTGACTTGTGATCAGTATGCTGTGCATATCGTCAGTGTGACATCTTAATTTGGTTGAAGTTTAAAGATTAGAGATTTACAAGGGGACAAAGTGCTGTTTGGAAAAAGACATGTACAATACCTATGCGACTAGGGAGAAAAATGAAAGTTAAAAAAAAAAGAAAATGCAAAAAGAAAAATCTTGAAAAAGAAGGTTTTCTGGCAGCTTGCAGAAATGTTTGAAAGCCATTTAATGTATGGATATTGTTTTGGTTATTGTTATCTTTTGAACAACAAGCAGCTGCATGACTCTGCTCTCCCCCAAAAGGTTGAGCCCTTGACAATGTGCATTTACTGAGTAGGATCTGACAACCACAAGTATGTTCATTAGGGCACCCTTTTATAATCTATGGTTGTCATATCTTTATTTCAATTGAGGGAGGGTTGGTCAGTCAAAAAAAAAAAAAATCCATGCTGCTGCCATATAGATGACTGACTAAACCAGGCAAAGTGTGCTATGTATACCTGTCACTTGATTTTATAATGAGTACCTTGAGTGTCTTTGTTTCTAGCTGAGAACAGAGAAATATTTTATTGGTACACAACACAATACCTCGTTGGAGTTAGTGTCAGGACACCATATGGTGTTCGTGTGTGTAAAGCGTATGCATGGATGTTTTTGTTTTTCCTGTGACACCCGATATACATGCTTGTATGTGTGCATTGGGTGCAATACAGTATCGCTCTCTGGTATTGATGCTGTTCCATGGATTTTGACTGTCATGGCATTGATGTCTAGGTAATATATTGCACATGTACATTTTCAGTACTGTATTTGTACAGGTCATCACTCCCTACTGTTTTGTATAGACAGTCCTCTTAGCAAGGTCGGAACGAAAAAAAAAACTCTTTGTGAGGTCAGGAGCCAAGAACAGGGTCAGTTTTAAATGACCACCCTAGAATTTAAAAAGGGTGCCCTTATACAGTAATCAGTCTCTACAGTTTTATTTTGAAAGTATATTTCTTTGTAATGAATTTCTAATTTACTGGGGTTTTAATATTCCATTTAAACCCAAATCCAAATTTGCCTAGAATACACTTTTCCGGAAAGGACCCTGAATGTTTACAACCAAAACAACCTTGAGACATAATTTTGGTAGCTTTTTGTAATAATCTAGTTGTAGAACATCTCAATTTAGTTTGTTAGAATGTGCATATGAAGTAAATTTCCCTTGACTTGCTGGTTACTTCTATGAGTTTTCTAAGGGAATGCCTACCATATCTGAGGCTGAGTTTGCCCATGTTTTGCTGAGGTACACCAATATGGATGAAGACAAGATGAAAGAATTCATACAGACTGTGCGGGAGAGGATGCCTGAGGAAAAGGTAAAACATACATGTACATTCTTCCTTCTCTGTTCATTAATTTGAATTACCTGGAAGCCAGTCACTAATGCTGATCAGTGGTGTCAGGTTATAGTATGTATGTTGTCATTTCAAAAGTCTCTTGATGAAGCTTGTTCAAACTTGCTGATGAATAAACCGCCAAACAAAAATGTTTTGGGTTCTGATCACATGACCAAAAATGATAATGAGAATAATTCAGTATTCGGAATTGTGACTCCACTTTTTGGCAGAATCAACTTGCTGTGGTTGTTGAATGTAGTTTCTTCAGTGTGTTGTAAGCACCACTCAACACTTCCCTATTCCAGGGAAAATTGATTCTATGGTATTTTCAAGTAGTGTTAAATATAAAATGGAGATAATCTGTTATCTGTGAAAACTGTTTTCTCTGAATTAATTTCAGGGTTGTAAATGTAAATCAAATTCAAAAAAAGTGACTGTTTTTTTCCCAAGAACCTTTTATTTATTTGTTACAATTGGTCATTGGCAGAATTGATTTAAAAAATTTAATTTAGAAATATTTGGGTTACCTTAGCCTGAAGAACGGTATACTTGAAACTCACAAACACAGCACAACATAGTAAATGTTGATATTTTGAAGAGGTTTGTATAGAGGCTTGTAGGATATTTGGTTTGGATAAGAGTAACTTAGTTTTAGTTCCGAATTGCTGATGAGGGATACATGTTGAATAGCCATTTTATACCTTGCATAATTTCTGAGCCTACTGCCATGTTGCTGTGTACAGTCAAGCTTGTGTTCAAATGTGTTGTAAGGCGTACACCTTGCCAAACTTCAATACCATATTGTCTACAGTTTCTTCAAATCAACATGTACATGTACACATGCCCACTTTATACTGCCTAAAGAGCAGGTATTTGCAGATCTCAGATTCCTCAGAATCAGATAACTACTTTGTCAATAGTAATCTTTTAAGATTGAACTTAAATGCAAATTTACAAATGAACTTTGTCAACATACATATGAGCTTCTTATCATACTATCTCTACCAATTGCATAACTAGGGCCAAGGCTACTTGATAAAGGTCTGGTATGATGTTTCAGGTAATTACATTTGCAGTGACAGTGAATTCAAAAGGTCATTTGATACAAACAGTTGATGGATGGGATATCTAGGTTAGCATTCAAATGATTTATTACTAGAACTTGAATGTCATCTGAGAATCCCACTACAATAGTGTTAATTTTCAAGTCACTGATGCCTGTACAAAAACTAAATGTAACTTGTTGGGAATTACCCATGCCAATTTTATAACACTAGGTGTGACTCATTGACTTGGTGGCAAACTAACTAACTACTTAAGCAGATCTGCCAGGTAGAGGAATCATGATTGCTGGGATTATGTAGTCATCTAACTACACAAGGCTTATGTGCCTTCAATGAGACAATTACTGTTTGCAGCATCCTTTACAGTATTGTATTAATTGTAAATGAAGTTCTTGGGCAGCTTCCTGGAAGGCTTGATTGCGTGTGTAATACACAATCACATTTAACCAGCTTACTGATGCTAGTGGTATCTGAGTGGCAATAACAAGTGGTATTGATGGTGTTTCAACATTGATCAGTCCCAAGATGACTGACGGTAACCAACCAATGAGTAGAGTCATCGTTATAATAAAGACAGTTGTGAAAGATTTTCTGTTGGGAGAAGGAGAGGGCACATCAGTGGCACTGGCCATGCTGGTGACACTGGGACGATGCTTAGCAATTTGGGAGGCATGTTTCTGTGCAATCAGTAGAATCCTGATATACATGACTGTTATTACAAGGAAAGTCCCCACTCCTATCACAATCAGTGTTATCACGGCTTTGCTGTGGTTGAACTCTCCAATAGTGCAGATAAGATAGTGTTGACTGAAGCACTGCATCCAGTTTGCTAAAATTGATGTAAGAAGACCATAGAAGTTTGCTATTGTCCAGACACTGCATGTGATGATTCGTGCCCTCCTTAGTGATAACCATGTCTCATATTGCATTGGATACACAATGGCAATGTATCGATCAATAGTGACAAGCAGCACAGATGCACCACTCAACGGTAATACTGTTCTTATCACCCATGCCTGGATATAACAGCAGATATTGCCATATGGCCACCTCCTATCATTGAGGAAAACTCCAACTGTTGGCAAGTAGAAACACAAGCCCAGGATCAGATCACCTATGGTCATGGACTTTAAGAAAACAATGGTTGCCTCACTGAAACCCTTCACTTTGTGGAGCAGGATAAGGCACATGGAGTTGAGAAACAGGATGAGTAATGTGGTTAATGTCCAAATACATACACTAAGGATGTCCATGAAGATATCGTCTGATGCCTCTACAGTGAAATTGGTGGTGTTAGGGCCTGAGATGCACATATTGATAGCTTGGGTGGCTATTACATACAAACATCTTTCACATCTCTGTCATTTGTATTCTTTTTAGTTGCATGGAGGAGGTGCCAGTGTCTTTTCTTTGGTGATACATTCATTACTGTGACACCTGCCAGAATGAAAAGCATGATTGATCACAGAGGTTAGATCATAGTTAGATAAACGATGGTCCTGCAGTATTCAGTGCGTCACTTATCTAAATGTACATGTACTTGCCTGCCATCAACAAGTCACTGATGTCCTGTGTAGTCACTCCACCATAAGCTGACTGAATACAGTGTGTTTCAATTGCATTCAGGAGCAAGATACAATCCAGTTAGCAGTTGATAATAAACTGCCTATTTCACTAACACTGTGAATTACCAGTCATATTGACCGAAAAAAAAACAGTTCACAGAATTGGCCTGTGTCATCAGCAGTTAAATGATGATAAAGAATAGACTACGCACAGTAGGCCACACGCCAGAGTCACCGTCTAATTACTTGTCCTTGCATGTGGTTAAAAATCCAGGAAGTTGGGAGTGGGCTATTTCACTATGAGCATGAGGAAGTGCAATCCATTGTGTACAAGTGTGGCATTGAAAGTGTTAGTGATATAAAGAGCTGGTAGGAAATCACCAAATATTTCAAAAGGACATTGTCCCAAGTAGTTATGACAGAAGGTCAATAGTCACAGAAACAAAAAAAACAATTCGAGGAAGCATATGTAAAATATACAAAACTAATACAGTGTAATGTGTATAGATCTAATTTACATAAGCATTGACTATGAACTTTGTCATGTATCGTCCATGAAGACCAACCACCATGATGGGTTTACTTCTCTTTACATTACATGTCAAGCATAATGCATGCAATGTGCTCTGTATGAGTAAAGATTGACGAGTGACACAACAACCCCACAAGTGACATCTGGTCATTGTGGCTTCTTGAAGGCCAAAAATGTGTAACAGAATCTCAATAAGTAATGACGCACCATATTTGGAATAACATTGGACTTGGCTTCGTCCATTCTTAAACAGTCTTAGTGTATGCTGGCATGCTTACATGTCTGAGTAAACTAAGGGAAAATGACACATGCTAGAATTCAAGGTTGTGATATCCATCCCATTACCTCCGCTTTTTGTACTTGGAAGGGGGGAAGAGTTACCCGGTTAATCATCCCCTCCCTTTTTGGTGGTAAAAAACAGAAACAGGTGTTTGAGGTTACTTCAACCTGTCCAACAGCCAGAATGGAGATCATCAGAGTACAAAACTTTACAAAAAATGGTGCAAAAACAATTATAACACACATTACAGAATACAACTAGAGCTGTTTATGCCTGTTGCACTGTACATCAAGTTCAGTATTCCACAAAGTGACAGTCAGTGTTGTATTGCGTGATCCTTGGCTTTGTAGATTTTATATTGGCCTGTGAAGATTGCACTTTTTACTTCACGTTGAAACATTGACGTCAAAATGATACAACAATTACAATTATGTTTGCATAAAAGTCATCCCTGCCTATTCACATAATAACACTCAATGTGAGCTCATGGGGGCCTAAGCATGGTCACGCAACACATGTTTAAACATCATATGCCACTTAATATATCAAGTGGCATATGAACTTCATTATTTCTTCTTCCGATGTAGCCTACTTGAAGCTTTTCTTTTATCTGCACAAAATGGCTCTGAGTGAAAGCTTTGTCTAATCATCACTGTACTTGTAATACATCAGATCTGGACTGAGCCTTTTATACACGCTTGTCAATTTCAAAGTTTATGAGTAACCCTAAAAATTAAGGTTTCAAATTTTTTTTACATTCCAAACACAGAACTGTGAATAACAATAAAAAATAAAGGTTGGACTGTTTTGTCATTGAATGTTATTGAACATTTTAAGAAGGATGACCTAAACTACTCAAAGATTTGCTTATGAAATTGAGAGGAACTTGAAAACTACAGCATGTTTCTAGGAGGTACATTCCATAACTTTGTTTTTTGGACTTGTTTTGGAAATTACCCCCATGGCCAGTAAATTAATTCCAAAATGCTGAGGAGTTCCCTAATCAAAGAATGTGTGAACAGGCTGCGCTGAGGTATCTGCATTGTTACTGCAACATGGAGACCCATGCGGCATTAATAGACTGTACAATATTAATCTTCAGCATTACTGCCAGCAAGGAGCAACAAATGTGTCCACTAGCTTAGACCATTAACAGCTCAACAAAATGCAGGTATTTCATTCCTTTTAGAAATATTGCGGTGTTTATTTGTGAAGCAGTTGTGTAAAAGCCTTTGTATATCTGTGCATATAAAACTCGATTAAACAAATGTATTAAAATTGGAATTTAACATTGTCATTTATTATTACTAGTGTGTATTTTCCCCATTATCACTCCAGGATTTAGTATAAATAGAGTGATAGAAGCAATCCTGTCCAAAAGAATGGAGGAGTATCGCATCTTTTGCTCCATTTGTGCAAAATAAGAAGCAGCAAAACAGTAGCATGATGTCACAGGCATAAGTTAATTAACCATAAGGCCACATAAAAAATATAATTAGTTCAGCATTGGCGCCCGCCTCTAAAATTCTTGCCGCATTTTTTTTTCTTTAAAAGTTGTCTTTTCCAATGTCCTTAGCCAGCCCCTGTAGTTTTTACAATGCCCACACAACCTTGTGCATGCACAACATGCAACCTGAGTACATACACACAATGCCCTGTGCACTTCTGTGCATGAGTCTGAAGTGAACATGGTGCTTTCAGTCCATGGTTGCAGCAGGCCAGATAAGCATACATACCAAAGTAAAAAAAAAAAAAAAATGATGCTAACCTTTTTTTAATGTGGCCTTACCTTAATACATACACAGTGACATTCAGTCTGACAAGAAATAATGTGTTGACACTGGCCTGCAAAGAATACTGAGTTCGGAGTTGATAACCATTTTCTTGCCATGGTGGGAGCATTTTGCAGAACCTGTCAGATTCAAACAATTTCCTGCCAAATTTATTGCCGCATATGTCAGACACAAAATGAATGAAATCTTACACCAGCGCAAGTTTAATTCTGTTGTTATCGTACAGCCAGAGCAGTTTTAATTCCAGATCGATAACCAATAGCATTTTATGTAAGTGATAGTTTAGCATATCCCCGGTCGAAGCGTAAACCGCATGACAACATTGGAAATAAGCTAAACTAAGCAAGTCCCGGTAGAAGCGTAATCCGCGGACGGTAACTGGCTGCACTTATCAAGTCCCGGTCAAAGCGTAATCCGCGGACAGTAACTGGCTGCACTTATCAAGTCCCGGTCAAAGCGTAATCCGCGGACAGTAACTGGCTGCACTTATCAAGTCCCCAGTCGAAGCGTAAGCCGCGAGACAACAGAATAAGACATTTAAACATAGCCGGTCTCCGGTCGAAGCGTAAGCTGCGAGACAAGTCCCCCGTCGAAGTGTGAGCCGCGAGACAACAGTATAAGACAATTAAGCATGGCAAGTCCCCGGTCGAAGCGTAATCCGCGGGACAACAGTATCAGACAATTAAACATGGCAAGTCCCCGGTCGAAGCGTAATCCGCGGGGCAACAGTATAAGACACTTAAGCATGATCAGTCTCCGGTCGAAGCGTAAGCCACGAGACAACAGAATAGATTGTAAATCAATGCAGCAAATAGTCCCCGGTCGAAGTGTAAGCCACAAGACGTAAAATCGATTATTAAAGCAAGTCCGGTCGAAACATAACATCGGGTTTAGCAGTAAGTACTAGCATAATCATTCCCGGTCGAAGCGTAATCCGCAGAATAGACATTATTCACGTCACGCCCGTACGTACCCGAATGTAGACTACCCATTCCATCTGGGTTATAACTGCAAAGTGAACCATAAACATTACACAGACTTCCTAATAATTCCATGTATGTAAGAATTCGTTGATTGAATAGGTTTTATATAGCTATATTGATTCATAATCCTAAGGCCCATGACGGTGATAAGAATGAAATTCCTCCATTAAAAGCCAAGGATCCCATCCAGGGAAGGGCGAAAAACTCCTGAAAACCTCAATGGCTTGTTTATAGTGCTCTGACTTTTTTCAATCAGCCTGCATGAGGAGAAACAGGAGGAAAATTCCCCTTCCGGCTCCGAGCAATTCGGCAACCAAGCAAGAAAAGCTTCAAGACTGGGTCTCAAAGGTGGACATAAAAAAATCGCATGGACCTTCGCTTTGGCGGCATGAAGGGGAGGCAGTGGGCTTTGCAAATTTACAACAACACTGATTATTTATCCCACAATAAACCGAACGAACCGACCTGGCAAACTGCTCAGACAAAAGTGACCAGCACACACATTGGTTCTGCCTATAACCAAACAGCTGGGTCGTAAATCCAGCGCCTGTGTGGTCAGCGGGGGAATTTACTCCAGCAACCCAGCCTAGCGGCAATAAACTATTTGAAGCCCCAACGGGCCTAAAATGAATTAATAAACAAATTAGACCATCTAACTCGTAACTCGTGTAAATCCACGTATATCAAAGAATCCTTATAATTATTTTACTGATGTCCCAAAATTATTTGACAGGAACGTTTTTGAACCCTTTCAATTAAATAAATTTGCTCTTTAGTAATAGATGAGTGCCAGACTGGACATACATATTCCAGTATAGGTCTGACATAAGAAATATAGGCTATAACCATATGTGTTATGGGAACACCAGCTTTCATAAGATTATGCAATATGTATAGTTTCCAAGAAGCTTTTGAAGTTATTTCTGTAATAGGCAAATTCCACTTTAAATGACTCTGTATGGTGATTCCCAACAATTTTAAATGTTAAACCTGATTTAAGTATATCCCATTAATTGAAAGTGCAGATGTTGGTACATGATGTTTTAAAAAACTAATAGTCATACTCTGACATTTAGATGGTTTAGGTAACACATCATTTTGCTGACACCATCGAGAAAGGTTATGAAGATACAACTGCATTTGTGATTGATTTCCAACTTTAATGACTTCTCCCAGAGTCAGGTCATCCACGTATTTCCATCGACTGCAGCAATTGATTGCAACATCATTAACAAGAATAAAAGATAAAATTGGACCCAATTTTGTACCCTGTGGACCCCCACATGTAATTGTCCGAATAGAAGAAAACTGTCCGTTTAATTTAGTGTTTTGAGTACGTGCTGTAAGAAAGCTGCAAATGATGGGCACAATTGTGGACGGCCTAACTCCAAAATCTATTAATTTTTGAATTACAATTGTATGATTGACCCGATCAAAAGCTTTTGTAAAATCAATTGTACACAATTGGGCATAATGAGCCGGCTTATCAAGCCCCCAATAATGAAATTCAATAAATCTACAAGATAATGCGTTGTGCTACAACCCGTCATATTTCCATATTGTTTAATATCCAAGTTTGCTTTAATATCCTGTAGCTATAAAAAGCAAAGATAGGAGTGAGTGCAATTGGTCTCAGCTGATCCAGGGAAGATATATTTTCTCCTTTTGGTACAGGAACCACTGTAGCTGTTTTCCAGAGGTCAGGAAATATTCCTTCTCTAACACAGTTATTAAACAAATATGTCAGTGGGCCGGCAATTTCAAGAGAGGATTCTTTGATTAACTTAACAGGTAAATCCAAAGGATGACCAGCTTTTGATGAGTTAAGGCTGTCAAGTTTTTTTAAAACTTGATAGTGATATATTGCAGGTGGTGGTTTAGATGGTAGATAACGTGATAGTTGCATGTTATATAAAGCAGGTAGCTGATTACAAATACTAGCAAAATGATCATTAATTCGTTCAAGAACCTCCCCAGGATCAGCAAAGACTCCAAAAAGAGACGTAAATCAATATTAGGTGTGAAGTTATGATTGCCAATGTTTTTTAAATACTGATGCCATTTACTAGAATTATTAGATTGAAATAATGCAATCAAATCATTTTGATATCTTGATTTCTGCTCATTGATGGAACGTTGAACTTTATTACGTAACAATCTT